AAAAGTAGCTATAGGTCTACTTTAATTATCTGTTTCTTTTTATGTGGGTTTTAATAGATTGTGTCTTTCATGGAATTGGTCCAAATGATCCAGGTTATCAGATTTTTGGACAAATCATTGTTTATAATATTCTATTGTTATCCTTTTAATGTCCATGAGGTAAGATATAATGATCTCTCTTTTATTTTTCATTTTAAACATTTGTGTCTTCTCTCTTTTTTCTTGTTTAGCCTGGCCTAATATTTATTAATTTTATTGATCTTTTCAAATAACCAACTTTTGTTTTATTGATTTGCTCTGTTGATTTTCTATTTCCAGTTGTATTGATTTGTCATGGAATTGATTGCATTTCTTTTCTTATGACCCATATAGTTTTATATTGCTCTTCTTTAGTGTTTTAAAGTGAAAGAATACATCATTGATTTTATATTTTTTGTTGCTTCTGATTGCATTCATACAGTAAATTTCTCTCCAAATATTACTCTTGCTGTATCCTATAAATTTTCATAAGATGTATTTTCGTTTTCCATATAGCACTAATTAAATTTGGAAAAAAAGAAGACAGAAAACAAAAAAAAGACAGAATATTTTTCTGTGCAATACAGATTAAGTGATTTCAGTTACGTCAAATTGTTGACAATTCTTACCAACCTAGGGTCAGTAAGAAACATGAGCATTTGAGAAGTTCATAGTCCAATTGAGCTGGTACTAGAAGCTCTCTTTCTCTTTATTTTTGGTTTCTCGTACAACAGATTCTCTGTCTCCAAAGATGGACAACTTTTTACTGAACTCTTTCAGGAGATCTGGACTTTAAGTGGACTTTGGTTTTCATGGAGAAGTCAAGATGTACTCAATTTAACAATGACTCATTGAGCAGATAGCTGTTAAGGGGCTGTCTACTCATTTTCTAACTTGACTGTACTCTACTTTGGTTTGTGGGTAAAAATGAGAAAGATGTTTTGAAAAAGACAATCTCGATCTCCTCCAAGTTTTTGAAGACCCGCTGTGTCTCAGGCATTGCATTAGGCACTCTGGTGTCTATAAAACTGTGGTGATGACAGAAGTAATACTCAGAAAATTCATAGTAGAGTAGTGGATTCCTTTGATGCATAACTATATACCATGAGATGGAAGTCAAAAAAGTTCCTGATGCATAACTATATACCATGAGATGGAATTCAAAAAAGTTCCACAGGTGGTAAAAAATAAGATATTATAGAAATTTAGAGGAGAAACAATGAGTCCCACTTAGGGACATTAGGAAAATCTTCACAGAAGGGTAGTCACTTTTTGTTAAGCTTTGAAAATTACTCAGAACCTGAATGTGTATAGTAAGGGAAAGGTACTTCTACCTCTGCAAAAATGAGGTCAGAAAAGCATGACAAATGTGCAGGAAACAACGAATGGCCAGTTTGGTTAAAGAGAGAACAGAAGGAATATGATTGGAAATGTAGCTTGGGACTCTGTGTTTCAAGAAGCTAAAACATAACAAAGGCTAGAGTACGTAAACTGTATGCCGTGAGCTTCAGGGAGTTATACAGGATTAGATATCAAGGCTGCGATGAGCATCAAGTTGTGCTGTAGGAATCTACAAGCCAGAGTATTGGAGAGATATGACAGGAAAGTTTCTCCGACGTTGTGATGGTGTTGTGAGTGGGAATGTTGGAGGTGGTTTCCACAAGACTTGACAACACGCTGGATGAGGGCAGTAAGGGAAATTCAAATAAGACTCAAGACATCATGAACTGGTTGATTGAAAGGATAGATGTTACGTTAAAATAAATGAGAAAGACAAAAAAAAAGCAGCTTTTGAAAAGAAAATCATATATGGATGTAGGAGATCGGTCGGTCAGGGTGGTGGGAGAAATTGTAGAAGATGAAAACCTTCTTGGAAGGCTGGAAGGTTTTACAAAAGTTTTGGGAAAGGATTTGGCTGAAGGCAGCCAGATTCTCTTATCCAGTGAAACTAATCTAAATTAACTTAGGCCTTAGAACCTGGCCTTTAATCCTCTGTGTGCAGGACTACTCTCTCCAGGGAGGGGAGTGACCATGTAAATTGCCCACAAGTGTATTGACTCAAAGCCTTTGTCATTAAATCTATACTGAATAAATGCCCGCAGTGCCAGCTTGTCAGGGCCACGGCTGCTGACTCTTTACAGCACCCTCCTTGGTGTCTGGTGTCTGTGAGCAGCCTGGTCCCCTAGCCCACTCTTTCACTGGATACCTGTGTCTGGGAGCATTTGTTCATCTGTCGTTTCGCCAGGGTCTGCGGGTCGGACCCTGCCTATGTAGCTCTGGAGGTATTAAGTGGGGATGCTAATAGAACACAAAGTGTGAAATCATGAGAGGGGAATGTGGGAGAAAATCAGGGGCTGGAGATACAGCACTGTGGTCTTGGTGGTTATCTGAAAGCCCAAAATTTATGGATTTTTCAAAAGAGAAATTATGGAGAGATTAAAAAAGATGATTAAAGATAAGCAATGTGTGAAAACCTGCACTTATTGGTTCAGTAAAAACAAAACAAAACAAAGGTAGAAGAATAAACAGAGACAAAGGAGGAGTGTTGAATGAGGCAAAGAGAATTTTGTAGCATGCCAATAGAGAAGAGACTTGCAAGGAGAAAGTGCCTGTGAATATCAAATATACACCTTCAAATGATGTGGTGGTTGAAAGAGACAAGAATTAAGAAAAGCCTGCTATGTCTCACTTTCTAAAGTGAAATATAGAGGCAAAGCAACACTTTGGGAAGAGTGTAGACATTGGAATCAGAGGAACTAGAGTCAGTTCCGATACTGTGTGGTTGAACTATGTGATTGAGAAGCAAATTACAGGGCTTAATCTCTCTAAAGCTCAGTTGCCTGACTGCAAAATGGGATAATACCAAACTTCAAGGTTGCATTGAGAATAAGTTTAAAACATCGCCACGTGTTATCTCCATTTATATCTTTATTTCATCTTCTGCAAAGCCGAGTCACACTGCATGGTGGGTTTTCACTTCGTAGACTTCCCTTAGCTCCTCAGGCTGAGCCAGTTATCGATCACATGTTTACATGCGTGCTACTTTTAAACTTGAATGGTTTCGGTTTTGGGGTTTTTTGTTTGTTTCTTTGTTTGTTTTTACTTAGCACTTAAATCAAGCTAGGTGAAAAAGACCAAAGTTACCTCATTTATTTTATTTTTTCCTTTTTTGCTAACCTGTGTGACAAGAACAGTCATCAGCCTTAGAAAGTGCCAGAGCACTTGCTGACTGAGTGCACATTAAAGGTATGGCAGCGATATTTTTCTTGCAAATTTAATAGTCCCCCATTGGTATCTGATGTTTTTCCCAGAATATTCTTTAAAAGAATGTCAGAAGTTCCTTGTACCCTGTCTTTCTTTCAGGATCCCGGTTTTCTCCAGGGGAGCAACATCTGCTGGATTAAAAAACCTCTCTCCCAGACCTTCTCTGGCTGTCGGGAGGCACTTGTTGCATGACCTGTGAGGCAGGGATGTGGTATAACCCAAGGAAAAAATCTCTCTTATTTAATTAAAAAAAAAAAAAAACACCAAAAAGCAAACAAACAAAATAGTTTCCAAGAAACCCTCTCCAGGAGACTTCTGCTCACCTCTCTGAGATCAGAAACCTTCTTTTCACCACAGTCACTCACCACCTCCTGCCAATCTGCATTCTCCCAAGTGTCCTTCACTCCATTTACTCTACCTCATTTTTTTTTACCATATTTCTCATGGCAGGACCTGGGCTTCTCCACCAATCTGCACAGGTACATGCTCCCAATTCTCACAGCCATCTATTTCATTCTCCACTCAATTGTTAGAGGGATTTCTGTAGAAATTAAAATCCTATCACTTCTAAAAAAAAAAAAGAAAAAATAATTATAATCAATTCCAAAGCATTAAGCATTGGTTACTCATCCTTCCTGTGCAGAGCTGAATGGAGGGGGAGCAGATGGAGCAAGGTTCCCTCCTGAGGGTCCTGCCAGAGCGAATGGTCAGGAGAGAATGGTGTCAACAGCTTCAGAGAGGCTTATCAGTGTAAATGATGAGCGTACCTGTACCTGGAAGAGGAGCAGGGACCACTTTGTCCATGGTGCTTGGTTTTGTATCCCCTATTGCCTAGCACAATGCTCTGTTCATAACAGATACTCAGTAACTCTTTGCTAGGCAAATAGTTGACTCAGAGAGACCCTGTTGTAAGGCAATGCACTTATCAGGAAAAGGAATAAAGGGTTGAGTGGAAACTGAAATGGAAGAAATTGAAATGGAGTATCATGCAATCTAATGGTATGTTGGTGGCAAGCAAGTAAACATGTGTACATCCTGTTATATAGATGTCACAAATAGAATGTTGCATGTATACCAAAAGATAAACATCTTAAAAACCAGGAACCAATGTCAGGAACCAAACCAGAAAAAATGTGCCAAACATGAATCCAAGCTGATGTTAACTTTTATGCAATAATAGAGAGACACCATAGCTTCCACTTATATCTGTTGTTATTACTAAGCAGAGAGGTATACAGATAAAGTAATATAGTGCCAAATGCCATTTGTATGAAAGTTAACCTTTTGTTTTGTTAGTAAGCAATAGGAGAACAATCAATAAATACTGCCAGCAGTGGTAATGTGACTAGCCTTGCAAATTGGTCTGAGTGGCATGGTGTGTGCAATGAAGAATAGCACTAAGACTCCATACTGATAAAAATGCAAATGAAGAAGTATTTTCTATCAAGAAAGGGTGGTATAATTCCATTTTAAATTATTGCAAGATTTCTTTCCCTCAAGTCCATCTCCTATGCTACATTCAATTTATTGTGTTAAGCTAGAACTCTGTTGTAAGTTCTTTTAAACAATTACATGCCAAATTGACTATGCATAAAGAAAAATGTGTTGGATGGGAAATGAGATCCTATGGTTTACACATTTATTTCTTAAAACTCTCTGCTTCAGCTGGTAATTTCCTCGTCCTCTCCTGTCACTCCCTCCCTGTGGTTGCTTCACAGGCCACGGCACATGTTCCTGTGGTCGCTGCATTTGTGAGAGAGGATGGTTTGGAAAGCTCTGCCAACATCCGCGGAAGTGTAACATGACGGAAGAACAAAGCAAGAATCTGTGTGAATCAGCAGATGGCATATTGTGCTCGGGGAAGGGTGAGTATCTCTGCTGGAGCCTGCACTCGATTCCTGTTCTGACACATGATTTGTAGAACAGCATGTAGCAACTGTCTTTCCCAGACTGAACTTTGCATGAAAGCAAACCACTATGTCCTCTGCTGTACCCAACTTGAAGCTTGAAGATTAACCAAATGAAGTTTTGGATCTAAGAAAATGAAATGCATGTGAGAAGATTCATGCAAAAATATCCTTGTATGCAAAGTTATTGCTGAATGAAATAGAATTAATACTTTTATGAAGAAATTAGGACAACAAAATATACCGGGTATTAAATGGACCCAAAAAAGGGGGAAAAAGGCAAAAGAATGATTTTTGGGCTCATGTCTGAAACAACACCGCTCAGAACTGCAGAAAAGTAACCACTAGCATCTGAGCTGCCCAAAGGTATGACTTTGGGAAATTCTGGGGCTCAATTATTTAGCTGTATGTGGATCAGGGGAGGATTAAAGGTGTGAGAAGACCAAAAGGATACTAAATATTTAGTTTAATTTGGTTTAATTTTTTAAAAAGGAAAGAAAAGCTATGGGGGAGGGTAGTATCCCACAAGTCTGAGGAATTTTCTTTGACCTAAAAATCACCATTTGTTCCAAGTGAACATGTGCAGCCTGATATAAGAAAATAGGTGATTGTTCAGCTGGGCACCGTGGCTCATGCCTGTAATTCTAGCACTTTGGGAGGCCAAGGCAGGTGGATCACTTGAGGTCAGGAGTTCTAGACCAGCCTGGCCAACATGGTGAAAAATACAAAAATCTACTCACTAAAAAAATACAAAAAATTAGCCAGGCATTGTGGCTCACACCTGTAATTACAGTTACTTGAGAGGCTGAGGCAGGGGAAGAGCTTAAACCCAGGAGGGGGAGGTTGCAGTAAGCCAAGATCGCACCACTGCACTCCAGCCTGGATGACAGAGAAAGACTCCATCTCCAAAAAAAAAAAATATATATATATATATACACACACACATATATATATACACACACACACACATATGTATATGTGTATATATATATGTAATAATTAAAGAAAACAAAAGCCTGCCAAACGGTTATAACCTACAAGTTGGTTGAAGAGAAGCCACCAACCCAATAAAACATTTGCCACAGAAACATATTCAAGGAAAAAGCAAGCCTTCCCCGTCTCCCATCCTACACACACACACACATGCATGCACACACACACACACATATACACACACATACACACACACACAGAAAAATTGGAAGAGGTTTACCCTGAGTAAAGAATAGTAATAGATTAAATTTTGAACACCTTGATTTTGATGTTTCTGTATACTATTCTTGAAGGGACTTTAAAATCCTGCCATTGTAGTGCATATGGCATCATCTAGAAAGCCATTGTGTTCTTTGCTAGTGACTGGGAAGACACAGGGAACCTGAAAGATTCTCACCTCATGTCTGGGGAGCAGCGCTTCAAAGAAACTGAAGTTATGGGGCTTCCTAGCTCTTCTCTTCAGCTCAGTATCCTCTTTACACAAAAGACACACTTTTTTTTCAGACAGGGCACAGCTCTGGCTGAAGATTCATTTACTGCTGGTCAGGATGACCATGTAAATAACTTTCCGAAGAAGACAGCAAAGCAGAAGTGTACTAGAGACACTGAATCCTGTTGCCAAAGAACCACACCAGTGAGGCTGCCACACACATAAGGGAAGGAGGTCTCTGAAGCAAGATGTGCCCTCTGTGCCCTAAACAGTAGCTTTTGTTTTGCCTCGTGCGCAAGACCAATGCTATCAGGTTGAAAGAGCCTTTTTGGCAGAACTTCGGACATCAAAGAGGATGGATGCTGTGACTATCTGTGGTGCCAAGAAGGGGGATGAAAATGAATGCAAACATGTTCACTTCAACAGATGACAGTGTCCTTGGTTTCCAGGAATTCTGTGTTCAACACTTGTGTTTATAATGCTCAGGCAAGGAGGCCATGCCTTCAACCTAATGCCATTACAGCAGGCAGGTGGAAAATGAGTTTAAAGCAATCGCTTTGTGCCTTGTTTGTTCTCTCATTAATTCAATCTAATTTCAAGCCCCAAACAAATCTTCCACCAGTTCTGTTCTCAGGGGGCCTCAGCCCCTAGAAACACCTACCTTGAATTCAAGCTGTGTTGGGAGAACCAAAAAGAAAGAAAGGTTAAAAGGAAGAAAACAAGGGAAAGAATTGGGGAGAAGGAGATTAATGAAGAAAAGCAGAAAAGGAGGCAGTGATGGAATTAAACTGCAAGAGAGAAGTAGAAGGGAATAAAAGAGATGTTATCAGATTAGAAGGGAATGATCTGTGTATAAAAAGATACCAAGAATGAATGGTTTTTGAGTCAGATTTATTTTTCCTCTGAGCATTGCTTCAGACATAGAACACTTAAGTTTAGATACTTTTTGACTTGGTTTTCTGTAATAGCATTGTCATTGGGATAAGAACAGAAGCTTTTCGCAGAAGCTCTCTACTGAATGAGGATACCCATATGTATTAAAACACTAGTGTGCTTATTTATATTTGTTTATTTTAAAAGTCAACTAGTGTTTGTGTTTATGTGTTTACTACACTCACTATTGAATCCTAAACACTGTCCATAAGCGGGTCGTCCTTAAGACGCGTCCAACTGCGAGTACAGGAAAAACACACAAAGCCATACCCTCCAGGGTAACAAATAGCAGTCTTCCATTTCCTAAACTGAAGGTCATGCAACAAGAGTTGTTTCTTTTCAAGAAATAAACATTCTTATGAAAGTCATTACAGCCCTAGGAAAGATTCTCATCTTTCAGCATCGTAAATGTAGAAAATACAAGGAAAAAAATAGGATGACTAAATATTGACTTAAAGGCATTTCCTCAAAACAAAACAAACAAAGCCAAAGAGTCTCTCTAGCTAATGCCTTTGCAAATTGTTTGCTTTGGGTGGTGGCAATATATTCAGAGATCAGTGAAGGGTTGAAAGCATATTTGTCTAAACTATTTGTTTATCCTTCAATGGATAGAGAGTTTGGGAGTCTTTAAACTCAAAAGGAAATATGAAAGCTGCCCCAAGGCTGCACATTTTGACATTCATGTTAGTGGATGGGCCTTCGGACTTTTGGCAGCAGCTGATCGTGATCTCCCTTCTTTTCTCCTATTATGGAGACATCATTGTTGGATTATCGATGAAGAAAGGGGATAAAACCAGGATCACGGAACTGTGATGTATGGTAGGCACAGAGGATAATGGGGATGCCGCAGTTACTCCTGGTTCCAGTGGGGAGCACCACCCCACAACCCACCCTGAGAACCACAGGAAAAGTAACGCATGAAATAGACTAAGGGGCTTTAACGTAGTGATGGAAAAGAAAAACCTGTTTCTGATTTTTTGACGGGGGCCATGTATTTCTTGATCAATCTCATGGACTTGTCCAAATATTCTGTAACTTTTCTCAAATTTGTCAATGGAAGAAGTCCCTCACCCTGATGGTCACAAAAGATATTCAGAGTCCTTCTTTATTTGATTATGGGGCAGATCTGAGCAGTGGGCACAGGATCACCATGGCACATCACTTGGTGGCCTGTACCCACCAAAAGGCTGAAACGTGCACTTCCCATGAGCTGTCAATGAAGCCATCACCTCAGGAGACGATGAAGAAATAGCGTTTTATTTCTTTACAAATTTATAGCCAAGACAATAAATCACTCCATAGAAAAAGTTAAAACAAGATACATTGTTGTGACCTTCATAACAGATGGAGTAGTTAGTACAATAGTGAAAACTGCCTGCTGGGATGTCAGGTTGCAGCATTTTGTCAGGCTTGAATGAAAAAGAAAGTCCAACATTAGTAATGGAATGGGCAACGGACAAAGGTGCCTTGCCCTCAGACTCAAATAGTTTTTGTGAATAACCAAGAGAGATGAGGTTAGTGCCGTGCCGGGTCTCCCCTAAGCTTAGCTACCTTTGCAAAGTACATGATATAATCCATTGTGGGTTGTTTTGTTCACTTGGGGATTTATTTATTTGGATCCCAGACTACACAATTTTATCTTTGCCTTGATTACTTCAAGCTAGATCCAGGTAATCACATCCAATCTTCTTACAGATGCTGTTGTGCGACAATGGCTGTAAACACGTCATTAATTGTCTCCTTAAACTCTCAGTGATACTTCTTGGGTCCCACATCACCCAAAGAAGTCCAGCATATACACTCACTCACCCACCCGTGACCTGTCCCACATCCCCAGAAAGAGAAAGAGTGAGAGATGCGTCACAAAATCAGCCTCAGCCTGGTGTTCAAGTTGCCTCGCTCAATATGTCTGTGCAGTCAGACCTGCAGGAAGAAACAGCTTATTTTTAAACTACTGTATATGAAAGTTTTTGCAGGGAGATACATCACAGATAGGCAGATCACTAAAAAGAAGAGTGGATTGAATCAGAGTGAAGTCTTCAGTTAACTGTTTGTTTATTGCCTGTGAGGTCCAGGGCGGTTTCCTTTATTCTCTCTTCCATTCTCATCTTTGAAGGTAAAATTTCATTTATTTCCCCTTTCTATGTCCTAAGATGCCCTGAAGACACATGAGAAAATGTGACTGATTCCCCAGGGAAGGAAGCCAGCAAAAATGCACGGAAGGGAGATGGGAACATTCTTAAGGGTCCTTATATTGAGAAAGAAAATGAATGGATTAGTGGTGCTGTGGTGATGAACTATCCGCCCTAAAACTCCTGCCAAGATCAGCCAGCTGTTCTCTGGCTGGGCTGGGTCTCAGGGGTGTGAGTGGGTCTTGGCCAGCTGAGTTGAACCATTTCTCCCCTCTTGATAGTCATGCAGTCTACGTCTGTCTGATGGAACCCTCTCCCTATGTGTTTCCCGTTTAAGAGAGGCACAATTTGACCCCTACTATGGAAGAAAACAGTTAGAGCGTTCTACAAGGAAGGTGCTATAATAGGTCCTAATAAGTATTCACACTGTGTTATTACTATATGCTATCTAGTTCTAGTTTCACAAGCAGTAGAAGAGTTTCCTACCTCTAAGATGCATTGAGCATTGACAAACAGGAAAGAATAACACAGCTGGGAAAATGCTGACCTAGAAAAGCTACTCTTTCATGACACATACAAAATCAATCCTCATTTTTTATCCTAAGTATTTCAGCGACTAGTAGACTTTCAGAACTGGAATTTACTCATCAAATGCTCTATCCATATATGCCATATTAACTTTAGCTGAGCTTACCAGTTTTCTGAAAATGCTTTACTAGGGCATGAAGCTAAGCATTCCAGAAGTAAGAGCAGTGATTACAATAGTTCCAGGGCCAGAGGATAAGTTTGAAGATGAAATATAAGATCTTTTCATGAATTGTGACATATATAAAATGATATCCTGGGTGTATATATGAATATTGTGGGCATATAAAATCAGACACTACTTTAGAAATAACTAAAAACAGTCAAATATTTCAAATAATTAATCTTCCTCCACTCACGGAAATAAAACACTAAGTATTGTGCCTTCTGAGGAAACGACTCTGATAGTCAATGAAGTACTCCATGTGGTCTTTGTTGGCAGATATATCACTATCCATTTGTTAAACAAGCAGTAGAGTGCTGCACATTTTTATGCCTAGAAATGTGAAATAAAGTCTTTAAAATTAGGATAAAGAAATCTCTAAAATCAGAAAATTCCTCACCTTGATGAGATCACAAGGGAACCAGCATCCCTTGCAGACTGACCTGGGAGGAGCACCTTCCTGGGTCCTGAGAAACCACCGGGATGTCAGTCAGTTATTAAAACTGAGAAAATGTGTATATTTTGCTCAAGAGCATGCAAGTCAACCTGGACCCTCAGGAAAACAAGTCAAGACTAAATAGAATTATGCCATAGCTACTCAAGAAGTTAAAAATAAATGAAAATACAATTGTCACAATATAAATAATTCTGACTGCACTCTTACCTTGAGAAGTGTGTCAAGAAATGGCAAACATTTAATTTGGATTTTGGGGAGTTTTGCAGCTAAAATGCATATACCAGTTTCCCTGATATGAAATATCACGTAGTTGAGACACATGAACCTGAATCCTTTCATGATATCTGTGATGACCACAACTCCTTTTCCATAATCACTTTAATCACCTAGGCTGTTAACTCATTTTTAATCACTGTGTTTTAAAAGAAGCACTAATGATTGATTCTTGTCCCTTTTAAATGTGTTTTGAACTTACCAATTCTATAGTTTTGTTAAATATGTCAGAATACTTTTTTCAACTGCACAATCTTTCAACGTGACTTTTGACTTAAAAAATTACTGATAGCCACCTTTTAGTAAAGGGAAGTCATGTTTGGAAAGAACAACCAACCCAAGGAAACAGAAGGAAAAGGAAGTCCTTTTTATTTGTTTCTTTTTCATTGTAAAGTCTTTCCTGTTGTCGTCGAGGCAGTTTTTCCATGTAAGGGTTTTTAGCCTGTCATGGAAAGCTGTTTAAACTGAGAGAACTTACTTCTGTGTTGGATACCCTTCATCTTATTTATTTTCTTTTATTTTAAATATATCTGTAATAAAATTTTTTACTCAGTAAATAAAGATATTTTAAATAACCAAAGAGGAAGTGTTTTAATTAGGTAGGAGAAGAAATGGGTGGAGGGAAAAAGAGTTGAATCCAGAGTCTCATAAAAGATGAACTTTGGGAGTAATTTGAGCTATCCTAGATTATGACAGTCCTGAGGATACGGTCTCACGAGGCAAATGTACTGAGTGATTGTGTGCACTTTCAGCACTTTAATTAGCCACCCGATATGCAGGTGTGCTCCTGCTCTGAGAAAATCATGTAAACGAAAATCCAAAATCATAAGCACAATACTTTAGTAGTTGTTTTCATTAGAAATGCAACCTAATTTAATACAATTCCCTATTCAATTCCTTTAAAGAAGAGGCACTTTAAAAATATGATTCAATTCAGGGGGAAAAATCTATTTTTGAATACTTTTTTGGAAGACCATCTATAAGAATCAACCCCATCCTGCTCTCATTGACATTTCAACCAGACTGGGCCATGGGACATTTGCTCAAGGCTAATTGCAACTGTCTAGATCCATAATGAAGGCTTTCCTGGGTGACCTTTATGAATTACAGTAAGTAAAGCTCCCCTCTGAGAAACCAGCCATTCAATAAACTTTTACCTTTGGATGATGGGTTATTAGAAGCCTGTTGTCAGTGTGTCAACGAGATTGTATTTGAGATGGAAACCTTTAGTTATACAGTGATGGCGAGTAATAGCCTTTGTAATTTCAGGTTCTTGTCATTGTGGGAAGTGCATTTGTTCTGCTGAAGAATGGTATATTTCTGGGGAATTCTGTGACTGTGATGACAGAGACTGCGACAAACATGATGGTCTCATTTGTACAGGTGCAGTATTAACCTTTTCTAATTGCTCTGTGCCACAGTTTGTTATAGAGCTAAGGGACACTCATCATGCAATGCTTTAGGTGGCCGGACCAACAGGGCCAACTGTGAATATGGCATATCTACCAAAGGCAAAGTGGGCATTTGGGAAAAAGCCCTCACATTATTCCTGGGCGTAGAAGAATACAAGAGAATGAAGCTAAATTTTGTGATTATTTGGAATACTTCCACAAAGTAACCTCCCCACCTCAAACTCACATGTATCTAGTTATATACTGAACACAGAAAAGAATTTTCTTGGCACATTTTACTTTGAACATGGTATAGGGAATGGAATATTCTTTTAAACAGAATCTGAGTACCACTAGTTGATGTGTTGGTTGCTTTTAGGGAACTGGATGTGTGTATGGGGGAGAGGTATAAAGAGGGCTCAGCCGTGTCATAGCCACTGCTATCCTAATTTATTGAGTCCCTCATAATTGATTATAAATTCATTTGTTTTGCCAAGTTACAGAGGAAACAGAGACATGTATACTTGTCCTCCTCAGCTCTAGCTGAAGGTAAAAGATAACTCTTAGTGTCATTAAGTTAGACCCTTGCTTTCTGCCCGTCCTTACTACATAAGACTCTCTTTGCTGATTACTTGGCCAGCCTCATGTTATGTCAAAGAGCTTTATGTTTTTCAGTATTTATTCATAAGTCAGACATAACTTGCTCTCTAAGGGAAACAAAATTTGTCACCTAAAAGCCTAGTTGGAGTGATACACGATGGTTACTATCTGGTCAGTAAAGAGTGGCACCAAATAAATGCCACTAATTGTTTGAAAGATTAGATATCTCACAGCTGCTTAATAAAATGTAGTAATAACATCATTGCACAGTAAGAAAATCTACCAAGGATGAATGAAATGATTTCATTGTGGACACTTGTGATTTATAATAGCATGTTTAAATTTGGCACGTTTTGATCATGATCATGATACCCATGTGTATTTTATTGCAGGGAATGGAATCTGTAGCTGTGGAAACTGTGAATGCTGGGATGGATGGAATGGAAATGCATGTGAAATCTGGCTTGGCTCAGAATATCCTTAACAATTACACGAGAGAGGTCTGGATTCTTGTTTTTTCTAGGCCATTAGAACATTTAAATGCAAAGGAAATCTTGTATAATCACCACTAGGACAGGTTAAAAAGACCATTGTATATTTTTCTATTTCTGAATTACGAAGGAAATCTGAGTACCTATTAGAAACGAGTTATGCAAATTCAGATGCAAATAACACTAGAAAAAAATGTTTCTTCCATAATTAACATAAGTGGTTCCTAACGAGAGCAATTTTTCCACCCAAAAGACATTTGGCAACATCTACAGACAACTTTGATTGTCACACTGGGTGGGGTGGGGAAGTACGTCGTAGGCATTTGGTGGGTAGAGGCCAGGGATGCTGCTCAGCATCCTGCAGTGCACAGGACAGCCCCCAAACAAGGAGTTAGCCAGCCCCATGTGTCAGTGGCGCCCACATTGAGAAACATTGAATTATATGGCTATTAGAAATCCACATTCTTACACAAGAAAGACCATATTAGAATCTAAGGAAAACATGCATATTCACATTAATCAATCGATCAGATTTTTCCAGAATTCCATATCAGTCAACATTTTAATATGGGGACAATGAAGACAAATACACAGGAAGTAGAATATCAGATTGGGGCTGGATCAAGGGCAAAAACTGGTCATTAAGTCATTTGACATTAAATCATTTAGCCACTAAGTCATTTGTGTCCTCTCACTTTAAACTCATCAAAGAAGATTCTCTTAAAAAAATTATGAAAAATGTACAATTTAACATTTTAAATAAATAGTGACAGAAGTTGTTTATACTCTGTGTCAGTATATATTTACCTGCTGATAATTTATTTAAAAATGAATTGTTATTTAGGGAGATCTATTTTAGGTTTCTAGAAATAAGATAACACATTTTAAAAACTGGGCAGGGGTTATATGTACAAGAAATCTGACTTTTTATTTTAATTTATTCCATGGTAATGTGGCCTTTTAAAAAGACAATATTGAGTTACATATATAATGGGCCTGAAGTATGCATCCATTTCCCTTAAAATACTTTCTTTTTTCTAAGGATAACTTACTGGAAACCTGAGGTCATGCAAAGAATTCAAGAAGAGAAATACTGTGATAAAATGGCACCAATCTCAGAAGCTCACAAAGGACCAAAAAAAAAAAAAATCTAGAAATGGCTTAAATAGAAATTACAAATATTCACTCAGTGATAGGAACAAAATGTTTATTTTCTTTATGGTGAAACTTTGCTTTGTATGAAATTCACATTGAATTATGAAAGTGTACAATAATTGGGACTTCCCTTACATATTTACAGGTAAATCTACTTAATACACATTAGTTTAGGCAACCTGTAATTATTTAGAGCTAAAAAAACCACTTTTTTTCTAAAGGTGAATTATTTTGTAAAATCCTAGAATAATGTAGCAAAATCATTTCCGTATTACTTTAAAATGAAAATTTTTACTTGGAAATTTTATTTTAATGATGTAAATATTCTAGAGTCATGGCTTAAACTTTATAAGTCAAATTTCCAAAAATAAGGAAAATATGCATCCACTGAGTTACTTAAAAATTTAATATTGAAAATTATTTTAAGAGAACATTTAACTGATGCTGAGTTTTATAGTCCTAACAATGTTCTCATAATGTAATAGATCTATAAAATTGTTATCTCTATCCTGAGATTAAGGAGTGCAACCATATTGTAGTTCTATTATTATGTAAATTGATATATCTTTTTTGTAAAATGAGGGAAATATAAGTAGTCAATAAATAATGTAGGTTATATTCTTTCCTCTTCACTACCTAAACATTTTAAGCTGCAAACAACCTATTATTATTGTTTTGTAGCAATTTTTATGACGTATTTGCTGATGCACAGACATTGGAATTCATTATATTATCTAGCTATCGTAATACAAATGACCTTTGGATTTCCCTACCACAGCGGTTATCCTCCCATCAAGGACCAGAAAGTTAAACTTTATGGACCACATACATCCCTGTCTCATATTCTTCTTTGTTGGTTTCTGTTTAATACTTTAAAGCTGTAAAAAAATAAAAATTCCTTCTGAGCTCCCAGGCCGTACAAAAACAAATTAAGGGTGGATTTGGCTAGCAGCTGGGCAGTACTTTGTCAGCCTCAGCGCCACTGGAACTGCCCTTGATTCTCTACGGCTCATCAGAAAACCTCAGGTGTGTCTTATTTTTCTTATAATCCTCTGTATGTTATTATCCTTTTTATTAACAACAACTACAACAAAAGTGCTGCTCTTTTTCATAGTCTCATGTAAGAGTGTCAAAAATGTCCTCAGCATTTGTTTTTTCAGAAAAAGAATTTAGATATTGGAGAAATTATCATACCATAAAGTTCAAAATGTGACTCATCTAAAATTTAGGACAAAGATGAAAATAGGCCGGGCATGGTGGCTCATGCCTGTAATCCCAGCACTTTGGGAGGCCAAGGCAGGTGTGTCATGAGGTCAGGAGTTCAAGACCAGCCTGGCCAAGATGGTGAAACTCCATCTCTACTAAAAGTTCAAAGATGAAAATATAGTCATCTCTGTTCTAGTGTTCATTTAGTTGGAAACCATAGTACTGGAACTGTATTATAGCATAAGTTTCATGGTACCTAAACTCTAAGGAATGCTTTTTCTTTGAAAATAGAAATATTTTATTTTTACTTATTTCTATCCCCTATGTTTCTTTGTGTGTATGTGTGTGTTTGTGTGTGTATGTGTGGTTTTGATGCCAGCAATGCAAACACCAATATATCTGTTAAGAAGTGATTGAATTTAGATTGGAAAAAATAAAATAGTTACATGTAAAGACATAGACTCTTTCCTTTTAAAATATGATTTTGTACTTTTTCAACTCTACGATAGAAACTCCCTCCTAAAAACAAGCAGGGCAAGAACAAACTTGTAATGGATGAGAGAAAAGAAGCAAATCTCATTGGCTTTTTCCTGTTTTTAGGAAGCTGCTGTGGGATTAATGTCAATTGGAAGAGATGCAACAAGTTTAGAGAAGGTGTTGGCACTAACCCTGCTTGTTTGGGAAATCATCACTGAGGTATTCTACCCAATTCCTTTTTCAAAAAAGTCAACTAAAGTGCTAAGTCATGAGAGGAGAGCCATTATACCCATTGTCTTTCTGGGCTCCTTGAGTTTATCTGGATTCCAACAGCACTTTGGAAGTACTGCCCTCCAGTACTTCAAATGCAAATGCAATCTCTGCCAGTAGATATTGGAATTAGACTTAGTGAAAACCAAGAAAAAAAAAAAAACTAAAATATAACTCAGGCTTAGTTTGCAGACTCAACTGTCAACACTTTGAAACACTACTCCGTATTCAAGAGAGTGAAAGGCCCTATGTGTCACATTGTAGGCTAAGAAACCTAAGCTATGACTACTGTTTCCCTCAAAGTAAGACAATGTACATCCTGGATTTTGATATGCCTGCATTTTGGAAAAAAAATATTGAGGATTTAGCCCAATCGCTTTCCCTCAATATAGCCTTGTTCTGAACTAAAATGAAAAAAAAAATTCAATTATTTTTTCATCTTCGTCTCAACTGAATGTTAGTCAATGTGGTCTCTTCTTGATTATGTATCAAATGTTAATGATCTATATAATATTAGGGGGATAATTTTAAATGAAGTGATACATGTCTAACTTAATAAGAAGTTTTTGGTTTTTGCTTTTAAAGACAACCAAATCTGATATTGTTCATCCTGATAAAAATAACTTTTAGTGCTTAAAGCATTAAGCAAGTGGCTAGGTATGATAAAGAATCTCCGCTTGCTCCCCAAGAGGCAGACTATTAGAAGAACTGGAGCAGGAGTCCTTTGGACCCATTGTGTATCTCTTTAAGCCACTCCTACCCAAAAACATTCAGGACAAGCAAACATTTAGAGCAGGAATCTCCAAATTCTTCAGGATTTGTAATGAAATAATGCTCAGTTCCATTTTGCTCTTTACATAGGGTGGAGAATTTGCATGTCTTCTCTAATTTTTCCAAGTAAAGTGGTAGCAAAATGTAAAAAGCAATCTTATATTAGAAAACAAAAATGTTGTCACTTGAAATATCAAAACAATTGACATTTCCGAGCATTGTTGACGGACTGGCAAAGCAATCAGCGACTATAACAAATCAGTAGAAATAACCCTCCCACACCAGATATGCATGCAGAAGGAATGGAGTATTATAGAGACTTGATACAATGGACATATGCACATGGAGGTACAAAACACACGGTCTTTAAATACAAATGAATTCCATCAGATTTACTATACGGAACATCAGTAGTGACAGATTGCACTTACTTAATAACAGCAAACTTAATTTCTGAGGGGAAAAAATGGTGAAGTCTTATCCCAAACAAATAGCAAGAGAGGTATCATCAAAGAGCTAAAATTTTCTTTGGCATGGTAAAGGGGGAAATTGAGTTTACCAACTTATTTACATGACATTTCTCTATATTGGTGGGTAATGCAATGCCATTTTGTTACATAAAGTTGTTTGATGTTTTTGAATATGCCTTCATATAAATATTTTATTCAATATGTTGTATTTGTGAATACAACAAATGATATTAAACACAGAAACTGTACAATGCAGACAAACTCTTTGTATGCAAATTAGCAATACATACCAACAGTTCTTGATACACAGGTACCTACTACATGCAGCTCATCAGTGCTGTCCTCTTCCCATGCAACAGCTGAGACCAGACACAAAGTAAATGACCTAACTCAATTACAAATAACAAGGACCCCTCTGCAATATGTCTAAACATATATTAGAAGAAAGTATTTGACATCCTTCATAGGGATAAATGCCCTTATAGACACCCCGTATATAAAACACAACAGAGATACACATTTACATAAATCTCAGTCATTTACAAAAATAAATCTTATCTTAATTTAAACCAATAAACAGACTTGCAGGGGACAAAGAAACCAGCAAGTAGGGCTGATTATCAGTCACAAAAACAGCTGGGGCTGTTTGCTGTGTGTGTGTGTGCACGCGCGTGTGTGTATGTATGTGTGTGTGATGTGTTGCTGTAAGTAGTGTCTATAAGCCCATTTGATTGGATTACAAGTTTATTACTCATAGTTGGCCACATATTATGGGATATATGTTTTCTGAAAATAATTGGTTAATGGAAGTTATTTTAACTGATCCTGTTAAAAAACAGTAGGCTTCAAAATGACATAACACCAAATCAAAAATGACCAAAGGAATCATTTTGTTATATTTGTAATTTAGCATCATTGACAATAAATCTACTCAAACATTCTGCTAACTTTTTATTTATTCAAGTAGAATCCAATATGAAAATGAAATAAGCATAAACAGTTAAATTTATACTAAACCTTTAATCAGCTAAGCAGGCCAGAATTTTTTAATGCTGGGCAAGGGCTGTCATGAAGATTTATGAAAGCAGTGACAAAATAATTTCCCAATAAATACAGTGCAGATGGGAAAAATGATGACTGGGTCATCCTCCCACATAGAAAGAATAACAAGAGGCCAGTACATTGATCCCACATATAATTTTCAATAAATGAGGTTCAGTTTGGTCTCAATGAACTCTTCTGAGAAGAAAACATTGAATTTTATTAGGTGTACACAGAGTTAACAAATATATTCCCAAACAGTTTAGTATGAACCCCTTTAGATCCAGTATTGAACATTTTGCATGGAATCTTCACTGTGTAGTCAACTGTTCCTGGCCTTTCTTGGTAGTTGTCTTCCCTAAGCTCAGAGTTCAAACAGTATTAAATTAAACAGG